TTATAATATTGGGATGTTATATAAAAATAATATTTTCAAAAATGTTAATACATTTGTAAATAATGAGTTTTACGTTTAAATAATCATCCGGTATTATAATATTTGCATAATAATGTTGTGCTCCAACCACAAAAAAAACATTTATCGCGTCCTATCTATAACTGCATTGTATTTACACGCAAACGATACAATTTATTTTTTTAAACGATATATTTTTTTAAGCGATATTTTTTTTCACATTTAACTCAGAGTTGTAACAAGGAATTATTCAATCAACTAATAAAAATATCTAAATAAAATAGAATTGGAGTTTTTTTTTTATTATGATTCCGAAAATTTTTTTTTCGTGATAGTTTTTTTTCTTTGTAACTTATAGATGATATTATTATATTATTAATATAACATTCTTATAAATTATATTTAATTTTTATCAATATTTTTGATTTTTGCTCATGGCCGTGAAATGTTTAACATTTTTAAAATATAAAATGTTTAGTACAATAATAATACATTATTATTATTATTATACGCGTATAATATCATATTCTACGTAAAAAATCGTCGAATACGTAATCAAGTGTACAAGATGCCGATCACTATTTTATATACCATGAGAATAATTAATATCTTCTATCTTCAGATAGGAATTATTAATATTATAGATAGGAGCTACATCTACAGATGGCTAGCTACTTTCCTTTTAAACCAATTCCGGAAATTCGTTTTTAAATAAGTGTATGAAAAATCGTTTTACAAGTAAGTCCTTATGACCTTATCCATTACTATAGTAATCAAAAAAAATAAAAATAAAAACTAAATGATTCAATTTTATTTTTTATTCGAATCTTATTTTAAATATTTGTTCAAAAAATTATTTATATGCATATTCTGAAAAAAGATTACTCTTAAAAAAATATTTTCCTAAAATTCAAATTATATTCACATTTTTCTATTAAAAATTTACACTTAAATAAAATAATATGATTAACTTCAAACCATTTTAAAACAAACAAATAATTTGTTTTAATATGTATTTATAACACTTTAATACTTCTTTATTCCGAATACAAAATAAARGTACTTTTTACAAGACTGTATTTATATTATCTTAATATTTAWGTAATCATTGATCAAACATCAACCCAGTCAACTATACTGTGCTAAATTGTTAGCATTTCTATTCTTTTCATTCAAACACAAAAACAGTTCTAATAAAAGCGCCTTTATACTCGCAACGCTACTTCCGTTTTCAGAAACAATATCGTAACGAAAAACGTTCGTACGATCCTCATTATTGATTTTCCACCGAATGGCATTGAAAATAATTCCTTTCCGTTAGCAATATAGGGTCTTTCTGGGAAGAAAAATAATTTTATCGATATAACACAAGAGTGTTACCATTTCCGTTGAGATGAGAAAATTCTGCGTTTGGTGCATCTCACCCGCCGATTGTACTCTCATCGGTTTCATTAATCAGCTTTCAAAATTCCATTCTTTCCAACTAAATTATTATTACCGGACATAATTATTGTAAAAGGTATAATATCATTATGCACACATTGTGTTTTTTTTTTTTATCTATTTGGTTTTCCGCACCACCTCTCCATTCCAATTGTCGTTAATTCTTTTTGTCAGGCATGGACTTACGGATATCACAGGCACAGTACTGGGAAATTCACAATTTATCTCGGCGCCCGTTGGTGGCACCAACTTCCACCATCCACTGCCCACTCGCAGTCTTCGTGTCTTTTTGCTCTCCGTCACCGTCGCTGTGTCTATTCGGTTGTAAAATCCCCATCTGCAAGAATTCCCTGAGAATTATTTACTTACCATATAAATGTTTTGTTTTTCTTAGTTTTTAGCTGTATATAATATTTTATATACAATTATTGAAAGTGAAATTATTTTCATTTCACTTATATCTGTTATCTGTGTACCTGTTAGTATATAATGTAATTAATAATTCGAGAAATTTCATTTTCTTATACCATCCTTAAGACTAGAAACCTAACAAGAACATT